AGAGAGGCAGCAGATGCCAGATGTTAACAACTGGCACCAAGCAAAAACAGAGGCGGAATGGAGGATAATGGGGTGGTGGCAGGCAGGTCTTCCTAAAAATAGAAACAAGATTACATCACGAGCTGAAATAGAAAAGGAATAAAAAAAAATCATAAAATAGTTCTTCTGAGTAGGGAAAGCAGCCTTTAGCCGAAAAGCAAGTGCAGGGTCATTGTTACAGGGACCAAGGGCAGGTGTTAGTGTGCATACACTCCAGATAAAGTTCTTACACACCCCAGAGAAGGAAGAATTACTTTCAATTCTAGAGTGGCTTATCCATAAGGCAACAGGCTCAAACGGATGATAATTAGGCAATGGCCACCTTTGGTCTGTCCATATCCCACAGGCATTCAGCACCAGGAATAGGGAAGCTCAAATTCAATACAGCAAGTGACAACATAAATAAGCACCATTATAAAAATGAACTCTCCACAATGCTGCAAATTCAGCCATTAGATGATTGAGTACGAGTCTTCCACTTATGGCCGTCCTTGAGGGATAACGTCGAGACGCAGAGAAGTGGGTTACTGTGAAATGAGGACTAGACTCTCCAGAGACCTCTGCCTTCACCATGCCCTGGAGGGGTGGAGGATGGGTGAGCTCCTGGCTCAGCAAGTGTAACAGAAATACTACCCTGTTTGCAGCCTCCTTACCACTCTCTGGTGAACAGGCCATGCACGGGCTCCTCTGGCTGATACATTCAAAGTGACAGATGCCAACTACAAAGCACCAGAGGACAAATGCCACTGTCACTGCTGCTGTGTAAATGCCCTCGGCTCTGGGTGTGCAAACAGTGTAAGACCTATGTGCAGAACAGTGGCCGAAAACATGGGTGGAGCACCCCTGTTCTTTTAACTCACACACATGTGACCAGGAAGATGAAGACATGGTATTTTTGCTACATAGACTCTGCAAAAAGGCAAATCTCAAGAGAAGAAATAGAGACAGCTCAGGGTGTACCCCGAGGTAGGGCACCTACCTAGCAGGTGTGGAACAGCCCAGGGCTCCATGCCAGCACCACAGAAACACCCAGAAATTCCTGCCTTATGAAGGGTACATCCAAATATACTCAGATCTGAGATACCACTGGGCTACCTGTATGGGGTATGGGGTTCTTTAAACATTTTGTTTAGCAACTAGTTAGAGCAGTATCAATAGAAATGGGAAGTTAATAATCCTTCTGTACACCATAAAGATATATTGCTCTCATTGTTAATAAAGAACTGACTGGCCAATAGCTAGGCAGGATTTTCAGGGCAGAGAGAAAACTGGGAAGAAGAAGGGTGGAGTCAAGGGGGCCTGAGGAGATGCAGAAGAAGCAGGAGGTGAACAAGCCATGTTGGAAAAAGGTACTGCCATGTGGCAGAGCGTAGATAAGAACTATGGGTTAATTTAAGTTGTAAGAGTTGGTTAGTAACAAGCCTGAGCTATCGGCCAAGCATTTAAAATTAATATTAAGTTTCTGTGTGGTTACTGGGGAGCTGGCTGTCCGGATGAAAAACTCTGCCTGCAGTTCTCACAGTGGCCTCCCCAGCCCTCTCCGGGGGAGGTTAGCCTTTCCCAGAAGTTGAGCTTTCTTCAGGATCTTCTGAAGGACAGAGTCTGTTTCTTCCCGTATCTGACACTCAACATTTGGTGTGTGCCCAAACTTCCCAGGCCAGCCACGGTCCACAGCCTGGGTCGGCTCAGGGAAGCCATGGAATACAGACATGGGTGGGGACAGAATGGGTTTCTATGAAAGCTGGTGTTTAGCCATGTGGCTGGAATGTCCTGAGAGATCACATCTGGAGGAAAGGAAGACAGCAAGCAGTAAGCCTCCAGGAAACATGTCACAGACTATTAGAGACACTGAGCTCTCAAGATCTTATGGGACATGTGCCTGACCCCCTCCCACATGCCTAGCCCACAGAACAGTTAGGGCACATAGGAAGCCCCCTTAGGAACTTACAATATCGACCAATGAGTCAAGGTGCTAGTGGCCAAGCCTGACAACTTGAATTTGATTACTGGATTTCACACAATAGAAGGTGAGAACTGACTCCTGTGGGCAGTCCTCTGACTTCCACACATGCACTGTGTCATACACACTTCCACACATGCACCGTGGCATGTACACACACACATTTCCACATATGCACTGTGGTGTACACACACACACACACACACACACACGCACGCACGCACGCACGCACGCAAAACAGACAGACAGACAGACAGACAGATAGATAGAACCCCACAAAACCACTCAAACCTCCACACACTCACAAATAAGTGAGTGTATGGGCAAACATTCACATACACACAGTAAAGAAATGGAAACAATTGAATTTTTTGAAAAAAAGAAGCTCCCTTAGAAAAAGAAGCTCTCTCTTTCTGTCTTATTTCAGAGATCTCAAAACTGTCCACAGAATATTCCCAAGCCACACTGATTTTCGCTTTCTCCTATCTAGTCCTAGTTCTTCTGTCTTGGCTTTCATTCAGGCCTGTCCGGTTTTGACACCACAACACAATCTTGTCGTCTACAAAGTTCACACTCAAGAAACATGCTATCAAATCATATTACTAAAAAAAAAAAATTATACAAAAAAAAGCATCTCATGATGTTTTCAGGAAGCTTGTGATTTTGTTCTGGGTCACATTCACAGCTATCCTAGGCCACATGCAGCCAGTGGCCAGCAGATCAGGCTCATGGGAAACTCTCTAGGCAGCTTCTACATGTGCCCTGCATGGGCACAGTGCAGTGGGTAATCGCCAGTTCAGGACTCTAATCACCTTGGTTCAAGTCTCAGGAGTATTGCCTAGCCCACGGCATTGTCATGACTACTGCTGCTGCTGATGCAGCTAGGTAGTCAGGCAGGAACACTTGCTTACAATACACGAGGCCATGACTTCTAACCCTAATGTGACATGGGAGGTGGCCACATCAAATGTTGGCACTCACTGCTCTCAGTTCTGCTAATAAGCATCTCACTTCTTGCACTGCTGTGCATAAACCTGGGCCTTGCACACTACAGACACGTGCTCCGAACACTGGGCTTCGTTCAGCCCTAGTCCCAAATGCTGATATATCTGGAATCCAGCTTCTCTGGATTATGCTGTCCTTGATCTCAGATAGCTGCCCCACCTGAATTGCCTCACCTCATCTCTCGAAGCCTCTTCTTACCCTTAGGTTCTGTTGTGTTAAATCCTCCACTGACTGCCTTCCCGTGTCCCCTGTTGGGAAGTATCAGAAGCAGAAAACCTAGTCTTGGTGATAAACTTCCCTGAAGCATCGGAGCCACATGACTTCAGTGGAGTTTTTAAAAAGTCACCAGACAGCTGTGGGGGTGGCACAGACCATAAAGTTCCCGAGTTGGAGTCCCAGAACCCACTAAGACAGCCAGGCCACGGTGGCACAAACTTGTGATCTCTGCTAGAGAGGCAGATCCCTGGGGACTGCTGGTCAACCAGCCAAGCCTATTTGAAAAGCTTCAGGCCAGTGAGAGATCCTGTCTGAGAAAACAAGGCGGCTGGCTCCTGAGCGTGTCCTCTGGCCTCCACACGTACAAACATGCACCTGTACACACACAGCCTTACCCACAGAGACGCACCAGCCGCTATTTGGTTTAATTGAAAATGAACGTGGAAAGGACAAAGGCCTGGCCTTGGGAATTTGATTTGGGTCCTCTCCAGCTGTCTGGTGGGTATTATTATTTGAAACTCTCACACTAGGTCAGGGAAATACTCCGTCTCTGAGACTGTGTGTGCATTTCTAACTTTATATGGTGTCTGTGGTAATATATAAAGATCAGTGTTCCCACCAACTTCAAAGCAGCTCCCGGCTTGACGCAGCACTGTGGGGGCATAGGAGAGGAGAAACGTATTCCATGTGTTCAAAGAATCTTATCCGGCAAGGCGATGCCCAACCCTTTCATCTGCCTCTTATTTATATTGCTCGTCGGAGCCAAGTTACTACATGTCAAACCCTCACTGAATATATCTTTTAAAAATTATGTTTATTTATTTGCATACCTCGCGTGTGAGCGCGTGCGCGCATGCGTAGGCCGGAGGACGATTTTCTGGTGTCAGTTTAGTCTTTCTATCATGTGGGTCCTGGGCACTGAATTCAGACTGGCAATCAATCACCTTTACCTGCCGAGTAGCTCAATGACTCCACTCTATCTTGAATTGAATGGACCATGACCCCAATGCTCCTCCCCCATGAACCAACACGGAAGCAACACTTGGGCGAAAGATCCACCCGCCCATTGACACTTCCCCGCCGCCACACTCCAGAGCTGGAAGCCATGAAGCACATCCCAGTTCAGGCAAAAGAGCGGCATGCACCTGCCAGGAAATCTGTGTGGGTGGCGCAGGCTTCCTCTCTAGAGTGATGCTGAATTGTTACTTTAATTTTTAGTTCAGGGAGGTGTTGGGTCCTCACTCTCCTAAAGCAAACATGACTTTGGTATTTCCAATGAGAACTCCCATCTGACATCACGCACGGCTAAGGGACAATGATTTAAACAAATACAAACAAACAAAAAACCCATTAAGATCCCAGGTAAGAATATTGAAGAAAGAGAGCGGGATGTCAACCCTCGAGTACAGGGGCTACCTCAAGTCGTCCTCTCATCTGACTGGGGGCAAATCCACCTCGCAAGCAGGAGCAGGGAGAAGTGTCATGTGACCCTTCTCCAACTCCTTATAAGAGGTCACATACAACTGCAGAAAGCACCACCTCCTTTGACCGCCCCCCCCCCACATAGCCCAAGGTCATGGGTGGAGCGAATACCACTACCCAAAGGGTCAGTTTAAATATCTCCTTTTGAGACCAGCTGACGGTATTGTTGGCATCATCCACCTTGAGACAGTATGACAGTGTTTTCTACTGACAGTCTGTGACAACCTAGTTCATGGTTCACTGCAAGTATGCTCGTGGTGTCCTGCCAAAGCCAGCCTGGCCTGCAAGGAGGGCTTACCGTCTTCAACAATGACTTCTTCCTCCTGCCCGTCCTGGTTTCCCTCTTGGACGTGGTCATCTCCTTGTTCAGCCACGCCATTGACAGCAGACAGCTGACCATTCTTCTGTAGGAGCTGGGGGGAAGACAAAGTCATGGAAAGGTGAGCTCCCGGGAATCCAATGGATGAGCGAGAGGAGGGATCCTGCAGGTGAGGGACATCGAGATCATGATGGGAGGACGTGCAGAGATGACCGGCCACACTAGTGGAAGCCCATGAACTCTGGACTGATGGTTGTGTAGTCCCCATGGGACTGGACTAGGCCCTCTGGACACGGAAGACGGTTGTTTGTCTTGAACTGTTTGGGGGCACCCAGGCAAGGGGATTGAGATCTGTCCCTGATGCATGGGCAGGCTTCTGGGAATCCAGTGCCTGTGGTGTGACACCTTGCACAGCCTTGGTGCAGTGGGGAGGGGCTTGGACTTGCCTAGGCTCAGTGTGCCGGGCTCTGCTGACTCCCCATGGAAGAGCTTGATTTGGGAGATGTGGGGGTACGGGTGACTTGGGAGAGAGGGCTGGGGGGTGGGAGGAGGGAGGAGGGGTGACTGTGTGGGTGGTAGGTGGAGTGAGTAGAACATTTCTTAATAAAGAAAAATTAAAAAAGAAAGAAAGGAAGGAAGGAAGGAAGGAAGGAAGGAAGGAAGGAAGGAAGGAAGGAAGGAA